ACCTTCTACAATGCCATCCTTGGTCTCTCCTGTTTGAAAAAGTGGTGGGTACTAGCACAGCACCGCAGGAGGACACACCTTGACCACACAGTGTATTACTACACAAGTGAGACGACTGCTGCTGCATTACAGGTCTGACGCATCCTCTAAATAGCATTCGTTTTAATCATCTTTGTATCTCGGGCACCCAGCAGGGACTGGAATGGCAGCTGAATAAATGAACACCTGCTAACAGCCATACAGGAAGATTTAACCTCTTTTTGCATATCTATGACTTGCCTTTCTATCCTCGAAAGGGCGTGTTTGTTGAACCTGAGGCAACAGATTGCTTTGGGGCAGAGGTTTTTCTTAAAGTTTAAAAAGCTAAATTGAGTATCATTATTTCACGCTTAAGTAACAAAGAAATAGGATAGAAAAATGTTAGGATTATATAGTATAAAAAAAATAAATGGACAGGTTGGCAAAAAAAAAAAAACCAAAAAACCAACATGTAATTTACTGCATGAGGATACCAGCCAAAGTGTATTATTCCTACACCCGCTCTATCACTCAAGGCACATGTACACAGACACATACAAAAAGTTAATAGCAAGTCACCGTGGGAAGTTTAATCATAACCCATCAACAGAAGAGCCCATGGCGTGGTAAACACCAAAGTGTATTATTAGGGTTGCTAATTGCTAATTAAAATCCCCAGATCAGGTTTCCGGGCACAGCTTGCTACATCTGTGCAGTGGGCAGGTCCCAGATGGTATGAAAACCAAGACTGGGGCCTGGTTCTTCGTGCAAGGCTATTCCTGCAGAATCACAAAGGTTATGGGTGACAGATTGTGCAATGAGAACAATATCCACATGCAGTCACCTCAGGCACAGTCCTGCTCCCGACTATAGATTTGAGATAAGTTTCTAGTCAACTTCCAGGACCCAGAAATTAGGCTATTGTTGCATGAAATACCAGAAAGTGCCTCGCTTGGTATTTGACATACTGGTATTCATCATACTGTCCTCATTCCTCGATATGGTCTGGGAAGGGAGACACAGGGATTTCCTGGGGTGATGGAAACATTCTAGATCTTGATTGAAATGAGGGGTACACACATGTATACATTTGTCAGAATTTACAGAATTGTTCTCTCTTAAGATTCATGCCTTCCACTGTATATAAATTTTACCTAGAAAAAAAGGACCATGCATAAAAATTGAACTCTAATTAATAGGTTTACTTTCTGCAGTAGTATGAGCTAGCAATTTTGAAACTACTTTCTGTATATTCTAGATTTGAGCAGGGAGTAAATACACGCAGGATAGTAAGAGCCAGGTTTCTCACCATTGGAGAAAGTAGTTACAAATACAGGAAGGGGGGGAATAACCTCACCAAAGGGGATAAAATACAGCATGTGGCTCCTAACATGAAGATACATCATCACGTCTTTGGTAGTTCTGCCAAAATTTCATAACCTGACTAATCATAAGGAAATATTAGACAAAATCAAGTTGAGGGAAATGCTACAAAATAACCGGCAAGACATCATCATGTTTAGGTTAAGGGAAAAAAAAAAAAAAGGCTAAGGAACTTTTCCAGATTGAGGGAACCCAGAGAGATAGGACAACTAAATGCAGGCAGGCTTGATCCTGAACTGGATCCTGAATTGGTCTGGGAGAAAAAACCTATAAAGAACATTACTGGTACAAATAACAACATTTAAAATACCAACAGTGGATTAGATGATAGTATTGTGGCAACATTAAACTGCCTGAATTTGAAAATATATTGTGTTTGGGTAAGAGAATATCCTTTTTCTTAGAAAATACACATTGAAGCATTTAGTTGGAAAGGACCACAATGTCTCCAACTTACTCTCAAAGTTGCAAGAAAAAGAGAAGGGTGAGGAGGAGGAAGCAGGGCAGGAGGGAGGGGAGTGTGCACATACATAAATGGGGCAAAATGCAAACAAATGGTCAGTCTGGGTAGAGTATAAGGAGGTTCTCTGTACTATTCTTGCAACTTTTTTGTAAGTATAAAATTATATCAAAATATAAAGTTACCAAAAAATACCCTAACTTACCCCCCAAATATTTAGATGAAAGGCTAATAATAACTAATTCAGTGTATTATGAGAAATTCTTTCAAGAATATTGGTTTTAAAATTCTATTTTTTCCCTGCTGGTGGCAATTCACAAAAACTTCAGTTGGCTCTAAGTTCCTTTTTGGAACTAAAAACAACTCATATAGCTTCAAATAAGACTTTTTGAAATTCTGGGGCAGATACCATCATTTTAAGAAAGTCTTTTAAGACAATAATCAGAAATTGGAATGAAAATGCCTCTTCATTACCCTCCTCCCTCCAGATTCTTCAGTATTTTTTCTGTAAGATGGAACAATTAATCTGGCTACCTGCCAAGTTAAAACCAAACAAGGTAAGAATCTATTTGTGTGTAGATGACTCGGCCTTCCCTGACATAGTAGAGAACTCTACTCTTCCCCACCTCAGGCCTTATAAAAGGTCTATACATATATATAAATATGGTAATGAACAGAGCATATTACTCAGCAGAGCTTATTCTATCTCCCCCATTTTCCCCCCCATTTTTTTTTAAGATTTTATTTATTTGATAGAGGGAGAGATCACAAGTAGGTGGGGGGGGGCGGGGGGAGCAGAGAGCCGGACTCAGGGTGGATCCCAGGATCCCAGAGAGATCATGACCCGAGCGAAGGCAGACGCTTAACCCACTGACCCACCCAGGTGCTCCTATCTCCCCCATCTTTCTATCTGTATTTGTGTTAAATTAGATATAAGTATGGGCTTGGTCCTGGGGAGGCGGGGGGGGGGGGGGCGGGGGGGGGGGGGGGGGGATGGAGGCAAAAATACCAAACACTACCAAAGGAAAAAATTAGTTCATGGATATCAAAGCAGAATTTTTAAAAAGCCACTTTTAGCCCCAAAGAATCTTTTTGAAACAATAACAACTATGATATGACTCAGTATAAAAATATTATGCTAAGTATGCATTAAGAAAAATTCACATGCACAGAGATGAAACTATAATTGGATTTGTCATTTCAAAGTATTAATGTTGGGTTTGCAGATAATAGAGAATGACATTCTCCTAAGCGAATAAAGAAGTTAGCCAAGTAAGTAAATACTGTGTTTCTACTGTAAGGAAATACGTGCACCAGTGAAGCAACCTTTTTAGCACAAAAGAAATTTAATACCCAGACCACATGAAAAGTGATCGCTATGGGAATAGCACAGCTGTTAAAATCCAAAGCAGTTTGTATTAAATTGTCCAGCATGTTTATGTAAAGCAGGACTCTCAGAATGACCACCAAGAGGAATTAACTTTGCTAACAAAAAAAGTGATACCTATATTTAGTTTAATGCTTACAATAAGTGTGAAAGCATTAAAAATGCAAAGGGATTCTCTTTCAAAGAATAGAAGGGACCTCAGTTAGCTGGTATGTTTGTGATTCTTTCACAAACAGTATCTCAAGGGCTAATTTAATTAGAAATAGAACAAGAAAGAATGGGTGTCTGCATTTCACTTACAGAACCCAGTTACCTTTATTTCACTGAAATGCCTGGTCTACAAAAAGCCACAGAAAAACTGGTACCTGTGCCAAATGATTTCAGCATGAAAATTAATACTGCCAAGTTATTCTGAGACCAATTAGCTCAGCCATTCAAAGAAAAAAAATGTGCTAACTAAAAAGCATATAATTCTAAAACTTGCATTTCTGAACACAGAAGTAGACATCCTTAAGGCCTTGACTTGAACAGATATGATACCTCAGAGAGACGACAAAAAACAAACAAACAAACAAACAAACAAAAGAGCTCGTGGGTCACTACTGAGAAATGGTAAGCTTTAAATCTAAACCACTTGGGATGCATAATGATAAAACAGCTTAGGTTACTTCTTAAAGAAAAAAAATTATTCTAAATGTTTCAGCACCTAAAATTAACCAAATTTATCAACATTCTCAAATCTGAGTTAAGTTTTTAGACTGGTTAGCATTGTGCTTCTCAGCTTCTCATAGGATTTACTGACCAAGTAAAGTCCTCCCCACCAACATACATGGGAATGGGTGGGGGGGAGCTTTTCAACTCAGAGTGGAGAGAATTTCGCCAGAATCCAATCCTTTCCGTACTGCCAGATGAGTCTCCATGGCAAAAAAAAAGTCCTGAATTAGAAGTAAGAGGCTAGGGTTTGGGATTAATGACCCCAAAACTATTTTGCATAATACTTGAACATGAAAATCTTATCGAGAAGTTTGAGTTTTAAAAGCCCAGTTTAAATCACTGGGCATCAATGGCTTAAAGAAAATACAAAGAAAATTAGCTATAAATTAGCTATAAAAATCAGCATACAAAAGAAAGTTAGCTATAAATACACAGTATACAGGCACAAGTAACTCAGACTATCTCTAGGGCTATGAAAAAGTGAGATGCCATCACTGTAGTTTGGAGATACATCAGCCGGTTCCCATTACAATGGAGGACATGCCAGCTCTATTTTTAGAGCCTCTGGAAAGATCAAAGCTGAAGGGGCCCTTTTACGTGCTCCCTAGCCAGGCCCCTAATCTCTGTTTACTTTTTGTCATTATATAGATCTCCAAAAGACAAACCATGAGGACTGCCTAGTGTCTATCCCTCCTCCTCTAAGAACACTTAAAAATTGCTCTGTGATGGTCCATGTGAGCAAGGAACCTCTGGGTAGGAGCAAAACCTAAAAGTTCACATTCAAGCTAAAATTATTGTGATGCAAGTATTGATACAGAACTACAATATCTAATTCAGTCTCTCTCTGTACTATAAATCAAACTTTCTCAGGCTGGTTTCTCTGTGAGAATGAATACACATAAATGACAAATCCCCTCCAGTTTTTTAGACCCCATCCCTCCCCCTCAAAAAAGTCCTCAGTTGGGTTCAGTGCCTCTAGCTGGTAAGGGTAACAGATTCATTTTGAAAAACAAGTCCCTCAAATGCAGAATGACTTACTTTGGAAGAACAAGCTGTACATTTGTCAAACGCCAGACTGACAGGAAGGACATTATCAAATCGTGACAGAAATCCCCGGATCTAAAAACAAAACAGAACAATTGACATCAAGCTCAGAAGGCCCATACCTGTGAAATATATTTGTAGTTTCTGACAAAAAGTGGGAAATAATATGGTGGTCTTGACAGATTACTAGCAAAAATGAAGTACAGCATGGACAGTTTTCCTTGTATTATAATCAGTTTGAGGAAGAACTATAGCATGTCTTTTATTCCATTAGGAACTTACAAACTTTGTATACAGGATATGATATTGGGTGGGGCTTCATAGGTGAGGCCTGGGGACTATGCCAGGCAGAGATGGTTCTAAATTTACATGTAGTTATTTGCTTGACTTGGAATAGATAGGGATAAAAATGCAAAACATCACCAAATTTATGGGGAAACAGCGCCACCTCAAGCATAAACTTCTGGACTACAACTAACTGCCATTTTCAAGGAATCAGCTATAACCAGGTTTCAAAAACTAGGATTTAAGTAATTTACTGAGAACATCATACCTCTCTAGAACTATACTTATGCCAAACAGGAAATTTTAAGCTGTTGTGTAGATCATTAACATACTATTATGAAAAACATGAATGATAAACTGTTAAGTCTCCACAGGACTTGGCATTTATAGTAAGTCAGACAACATGAATGAATCCTCTCATGAGTTAAATTATTTGATCTTCCCCACTGTCTCCATTTTATGTTGATAAAATTCAGATTCAGAAAGGTGACACAACTCGGCTCAGGAAAACAGTGACAGAGCTCAAAAGTAGGCGTCTTTCTCCAAACACAGTCCAGCCTCTTCCTTTTACCTTACCTCCCTTCTTCCCTTTCTCTCAAGACATCACAGTTTTGTCTTCAATATTAGGTCTCAACATAAGTTGACAATCTCACCTGAAAAGAGCAAAACAACCCAGCCACACACCCTTGTTGCCTTTAGCTACCCTACCAACACTTTCCCCAAAATAAAAACAAATAAAACCTGACAAACTCTTCAAAGAAAAAAAGCTTTCTCCTGGATTGGGATAACTCCCATCTTCATGCCCGCACTGCACCTAGTCTAACTGCATGTTCATGCTGGAAAACCAAACATGGCTTGGCTATCTTTTAAATACCCTTTTCAGTGTAATCCAAGATCAAAAGAGCGTTTGGTAGAAATGATAAATTAGATAGCTGTATTAGTTACATGGCCTCATTGTGAACCTCTGAAAAATGTGACAATCTTTTAGTTTCCTAAATCTCAGGAATATGGTAACCATTTCATTATATAGTACTGGAGGCACAATCAGGGTTTAAGTTTGCTATTCAGGACACCAAAACAGGAGAAATCAAACTTCTAGGAAAGACTTGAACAGGTCATAAATGGGAATGCTGAGATCCTCATGAGATGAAGAAGTGAGAGGCTTAAAAGAATTCTCAAAGTGAGTCTTCTCATAACTCAGTTACTTTTATATTACATTTATATACATACATATATATATGTTTATATATAAATACCTTTTATACTAAGTTCCCAAAAAAATGTGACCATATTTTGCACATTTTCTATTAAAATGTTCATTGATATAGCCTATGTTAATGCCTCCACAGGCATTTTATGGAACAAAACCACAAAAAGGTTTTCTTCATTCTTTTTTCTCCTACACCTAATATCAAGCTTTATGCTATATAAAGAAATATTAGTAATTTTCTCTGCTAAACTGTCTCATGATTACAGATAGGAGGTAAAGCTGAAGGCAAGGAAGACAGAAGACCAAGATAGGAGCAGGAAGAAAGGCAGGAAAGAAAAAAATAAAAACAAAAACCACAGGTGGTGAGCAAGAGAAGAAAAAGGAACCAAAGTGAATGGACTGGCCAAGTATGGGCCACACACTATTGTTTAGCAACCCCAGACAGCTCTTTACTAGGAAACTGTGATTCATTTTCCCAGGAAATGAAGTAAAGTAACATCTGTGTATGAGGCCTTTCAAATTCACCAAGTTGGTATCAGAAGGCCTAGAGCTCAAAGTAATTAGTGTTAGGTAATTTTATTTTATTTTTAAAGATTTTATTTATTCATTTGACAGACAGAGATCACAAGTAGGCAGAGAGAGAGAGGTAGGGAAGCTGCTCAGCAGGGAGCCTGCCTCGGGGCTTGACCCCAGGACCCTGGGATCATGACCTGAGCCGAAGGCAGAGGTTTTAACCCACTGAGCCCCCCAGGCACCCCTAGTGTTAGGTAATTTTAAAAAGGAAGGCCTTCTTCTCAAACCTAATGTATCAGCCTCCTAATGGATATCTCCACAGGTGAGCTCCCACCTTTCCATATAATGCCACACTCTGCCACTGATGTATTTTTCTAATACACAGCTCCTGGGTGTGTCACTTTGTTCTTTTTTTAATCAACTTTCTAGAGCTGAAACAAACACGACAGAGAATTCCTTATGCTGGCATTCAAGATCCCCCCACTAACCTGGGACCATCCTGCCTTTCTAATTATGTCTTAAATTCAGTCTGCTCATAGGTCTCATACAGCTACTAACTAAGCTGAAGTACAACTTCTTCTAAAGACATTTCTGAGATCCTGACCTTGTCTCAGGCTGAATTCTGTGACTCAGAACCCTTCCTTTTGGAAACAGCTACATAGCCAAATCTCCATCTTCCTTAAAAGCCACTCAATGCAAACAGACCTTTCATAAATCCTTAATCTACCTATCATCAAGCTTAGAGATAATGTCTCCATCACATGAAATCCTTCTTTTTGATATTTATTATTAAATACCTTGTGTAATAGCTATTTTAGAAACCCCAACAGGTTAGTAGAATATAATTCATGTACTATAAAATTCAACTTTTAAAAGTATATGATTCAGAGGCTTTTAGTATATTCACTGAATAATACAATTATCACCAATATCTAATTTCAGAACATTTCATTACCCCAAAAAGAAACTGAGAACCCAGAAACAATTAGTCCTCGTTCTTCACTTTCCCCAGGCCCTGGTGACCACTAATCTACTTTCTATTTCTGATTTGTCCATTTTACATATTTCCTATAAATGAAATCCTACAAGACTGGCCTCTTTTACTTAGCATGTTTTCATCTATATTATATCCTGTATCTGTACTTCATTCCTTTTTGTTGCCAAATAACATTCCATTATATGGATATACCACATTTTGTTTATCCATTCATCAGTTGGGACATTTATTTTGGGTATTGACAAAATTGGGTATACAGTAATTCCCATTATTTTAGGAATTAATGAGTCATATGGTAACTGTATTTTTAACATTCTGAGGAACTGCCAAACTGTTTTCCAAAGGGACTGTACCATATTATACTCCCATCTACAAGGCCAACACTTGTTATTGTCTTTCTGATTACAGCCATCCTAGTGAGTCTGAAGTGGTATTCTCACTGCGGTTTGATTTGCATTTCTCTAATGACTAATAATGCTGAACATTTTCCCATGTGCTTCTTGATCATTTGTAAATCTTCTCTGGAGAAATGACTACACAAATTCTTAGACCAATTTTAAATAGGGCTTTTTTTTTTTTCTTTTTACTGTTGAATTTTAAGAGTTTCTAAAAAAGATATTCTGAATACAAGTTTCTTTTCAGATAAGATTTGCAAATATCTTCCCTAATTCTATGGGTCATCTTTGCACTTTCTTGATGGTGTTCCTTTTGAAGTGGAAGACTTTTTATTTTCATGAAGTCTTATTTATTTTTTCTTTGGTTGTCCTGTCTTATGGTGTCATATATATATATATATATATATATATATATAACCATTGTTTAACCCAAAGTCATGAGGATTATGTTTTCTTCTAGTTTTATAGCTTTAGCTGTTACATTTATGTCTATGATCCGTTTTGAGTTAACTTTTGTTTATGGTATGAGATAAGCATCCAAATTCATTCCTTTGCATGTAGAAATCCAGTTGATCCAACACTTTGTTGACAAGACTATTCTTCCCCAATTGAATGGTTATCAAATGACCATGAATTTAAGAATTCATTTCTGGACTCTAATTTCTATTCTATTGATCTATATATCTATCCTTATGACAGTACAACACTGTCTTGATCATAGTGGCTTTGTACTAAGTTTTGAAACTTCGTTCTTCTCCTTCAGGATTATTTTGGCTATTCTGGGTCCTTTACCTTTCCACATGAATTTTAGGATCAGTTTGTGTGCTACACTGAACAAAAATATTTATTTCTCTTGCCTATAAAGGGCAAGACACAGGTTGAACTATTTGCATTTGGCCATAGCACAGTGACATGCTTTTAAGAGAGACTACATATTACTATGAAATGAATGAATGAGAAAAAACACAAATATCCCAAAGCCTACCAAATTATTCATATCTCAACTATACAGAGAAAACAAGTCGGAAATAAACCACAAGAAAAACTCCAATGTAGCACCATTCACATTTTCTAGGCAATCTGAAGCCCTTCCCCATCACCAATGCTTTAAATCCCCAGTATTAAAAATGCACTGAATTTCCACAATATGTTCTTCATTTCCCTGATCTTACAAGAAATGGGTAAAATTTAAAGAGCAGGGATTGCTACTTAAAATTTCAGCACTTTCCTTAGACATGGTTAGAAATCGCAGAGCAATCTAAAATCCAGGTACCCTATGCAAAATCCTAATAAATATATTCACACATATTTAAGAGGCCAGTCCCCAATTCACAGTCCAAGACGTTTTAAGAATTCGTTCTTAGCTTGGGTGAGGAAAAATTCACCATCATCTTTCCACTTAGAAGTGCGCAAAGGATGTAAAGCAATATGCTCAGTGTTTTTCTAAACTTGCCTGAGCAGAGAAAAGAATCCCCCGGAACTTGATTCAAAAGGGCTAGGATAAGGCCTGAGAATCTGTATGTTAACAAGAGCCCCAGGTGATTCTCATCAGGCAAAGTTGTGAAACAGGAGCTTTCAGTTACCAAACTTATTTACACCTTCCTGTGGTTTGCTGTATACCACTCAACATCACCTGTTAGAGGTCAGAAAACAGATGGAAGCTTTTAGCAAAGTT